GTTTCAATATACATAATGATAATATTTATTATTTATTTATTTATTTCATTATCAATAGTTTAAAATAATCAAATGTTTATCTATATAAAAAATACATGCAAAAATAAATAAATAACTAATGAATGAATGAATTAAATTTACTTAAATTAGACTTAAATCTAATATGATCTCCAACAAAAAAAAGTCTAATTTGATAAATATCTATTTAGGCTTAAATTGAATCAGGTGCACTAAATTAGGTAAGCGTGTTAGAGCCGAGACCGATTCAAGTCATCAATAGAATCGTGGGTCTAGATCGATTTGACCCGATGCTCTTTTAAATTTTTTTATTATTATTATCATTTTAAAAACCCTAGCTATAAAACCTTAAAAAAAATTTTAATTCATTTCTCTTTTTTGTTTTTTGAAAATCTTTTACTCTTCTTCATCACAAAACAGACCGCCATTCAAAACAGGCGCCGCCATCACCGCTACTAGCCACTTACCACGTCTTTGACGCTGCCTGAGCTCTTGCACACCTTTGTCATGGCACAGTGGCGCTATCGCTGCTTCCCCTTTTACCGCCATTCTTATCTCTTTTTTTCTTTTTGTAAACAAACTGATTTTTTTTTGTTTTTTTTTTTAAGTTGGCATGGCATTGCTAGGTTGTCCGAGGACTGTGTTGTTTTTTTATTGAATTTTTTTTGTTTGGTTTGTTTTTATTTTGGTTTTTGGCTATGGGCTTGGTATAGGAGGTTTGGGTTTTAAGGTTGGTCTTTATATGTTTCAAGAGGAGTCAGGCATGGGGTTTGCAGGTGTCTCGAGTTGGTGATGGGATCTAGTGAAGGTGTGAAGGCTGTGGAGGTGGTGGGGTACAAGCGAGGATGGAGCCGATCGTGTACAGGGACTATAAGGGGTTTGGGAAAGGTGCCGGGGCTGGGTTCTTGGTGCAGTGCAAGTTTTGTAAAAAGGAAGACTCGGGGCTATGCGTTTGTTTGGCCGAGGTTAGTAGAGAGGCTGGTAGGTGCCAGCTCTAGGTATAGGCCTCGGCTAATAACTGTTTCCTTTACCAAGGATAAAGGCTGGGGTCGGTTGAGTTTTTTCCTGGTACAAGCTAGGGATTTGGTGAAAAGGGATCTTGGGACTGTGCTGAGGAGGTGTTTTTGGTTAGGTCCTGGGTTAAAGGCAAGCTATGGTGCTGGTTTGATGATTGAGGAAGACGGTATGGGTTATGACGCAGGCTCTAGGATGATGTTCAGGAGGCATAGGCAAAGGGTTGGTTGCTTGGGCGTGAATGGTGGTGGTCTGTTGTGCGAGTAAAGGGACTTTTGTTGTAAGGCTGCGTTTGGGCATCTATGGGAGGAAGGGGCTCTAAGGCCCTTGGGTAAGGCCCTCTCTGGTCGAAGGCTGGGGTGAGAAAGCTAGGTGAATGGGGTTGATGAAATGTTGTCTCTGCCTCCCCGTGCCTCTTCTCTTCTCTGGTTTTTATCTGGTCACTTGTAACATCCATCCAAAAAAATTTTTTTTTTTTTCAGTAGTGTAGGTGGTGGAGCAGGCACTGGACAATTTGGCTTGTTGTAGACCTTACAACACTGATGGCAGTGAAGTGGAGCAGTGGTGCTGCAGAGTGTAGGGCTTGTCATCTTGTCCATTTTTGTTGTTTCTTCCTCCTTTTCGTAATTTATTTATTTTTATGTAAATTAATTTTTGTAATTAATTAGTTTTTATTTTATATATTTTTGATAATTGTAGTAATAATAATTTTGATTAATTAATTAGTTATTTATATATATTTTTGTAATTTTTTAATTAATTAAATTAATTTTAAATGATAATAATACTAATATAATAAAATTAAAAATAACAAATTCGAATAAATTTAAATTAACGTTTAAATTGGCTTAAAAAACGTGCAAAATAAGTCTGAAAAAAAAATTTTTGAATTAATTTAAATAAAATTAAATATTTATTTTGATAAGTGAAATTATTTGAATTTAAATTTAATTTAATAATAATCGAATTAAATTTAAATTTTTTTCATATCAAATTTAAATAATTTATAATTAATAATCTATTATTTATACTTTTAATATGAACCAAAGAGCAAAAAAATTTTAAAGTCAAGTACTGATCAAATCAACTAATTGTTAAAATACAGTCGCTACATGTCTCCGGAATCCGCACTTAAGGGATTTTTCTAAATCAAATTAGATGTTTTCAGTTTTGGTGCGGTACTATGTAAGATTATAAGCAAAAAAAGTTAACAATGGATCTTATCAGGCCGAACAACCCTTAAGCCTCCAAGGTTTGTTATTTGGAGCTAACTATCCTCTCCATATTTGATTTTAATAGATTTGACGGGCATCGAGATTCGAGACTGTGGAAGGATGGCAGGTCTTCGAATTTGGCGGAACAGAAATTGCGTCCAACCTGCAATTCATCCATTTATTCATATAATTAATTTTATTAATTTTTCTTTTTAGTTTAACCTATCGTAACATGACCGCCTCTTTGATATTTAATATATTTTTATTTTAATTTCCGTTGTTTTCTTTTTTCCTTGCATATTTGATAAATTATATTTTAAAAAATTATGTGGGATCATTTGATATTATTAATAAAAAAATAATTTTTTTTAAATTTTTTTAATTAGAATTTTTTAAAAAAAAATTGATAGAGGTGACTGTTTATCATGAATTTTTTAAAAAAATTTTTTTGGTTTTTTATAAATTTTTTTATAGCCAATATAATATGTGTGTTTTTTAATTAAGGATTGGGTCAATTTTTTTTCTTTTTCTTAAAATATTTGACGTCCGGTTGAATGCAAACTTAATCTATAATATTAATCTTGCATATTTTTACTAAAATTTGACCTCTATTCATGGTTTCACGTGTCAATTTGTTTTTTTGTTTTATTTTGTGTTATGTAAAAAAAAAAGAGCTGTGAAAGGCTCAATGATTTTTTTTGTTTTATTTTATATTATGTGAAAAAAAGAGTTGAAGAAAAGAGCGGTGATAAGAAAAAAAATTAAAATAAGTGAAGGAAAGAAGGAATGGGGGCAAGGCACAAAAAAATTGGCATCCCACTTTTTTTTTTTTTTTTTATTTCACCAAAACATACTATTTCTACTTCAATTAAAAAATAATAATCAAGTGATGAGACAAGACAAAAAAATTCCCTATATTTTAATTTTTTATAAATTTTTTGATTGATCTTCAACTTTTTTTTTGGTATTTTTTAAATACATAATAAAAATGACTTAAATAAATTCAACTTATGAAAACAATTACAAATTTGGATGATATAATATAAATATTTATTATTTTGTATTATAATAAAAAATAAAAATAAAGTTTTAATATACAAATTATTTATTATCTTTTTTATTAAGATAAAAATAATTAATTAAAATAAAATTTTAATATAAAATAATAAAAATATGTATACAATTAATTGATAATTACAAATTGATTAAGTGTTGTAATAAAATTATTTCGCGACTGATATCATCATAAATAATAATTAGTGAAAAATAAAAATTTTATTAATTGATAAAAAATATTATAATTAATTTTTTATTTTAATATTTAATTAAATATAAAATTATGATATATATGGACAAAACATATTATATTTATATATAATAAAAAATATATAAAATTACCTTATAATATACGAATGTCAATAAATAAAGGTAAATATGTGTGTTTAAAAGCTATGCTTAATTGATAATTTATTTTAATATTTTTCTTTGATATTTGTTAATCTAAAAGACAAATTTTGCTCATTGTAGAGATCATCTTGAGCTGCCACGTGTTGCTTTTTTTGCTTTTTTAAATTTGTATTTTTTTGTTTTTACTTTTTTTAATATTTAATAAATGTTCTTAAAACTTATAAGAAATATAATTTTCAAAATATTTTATTTTGTGTGAGAGACGAATTTATA